AGGGAGGTGGTTGAGTCTCCATCCCTGGAGGTATTTAAAGAACGGATAGATGTGGTGCCTGAGGACATGGTATAGATGGACTTGGCAGTGCTGGGTTAACGGTTGGACTTGATGATCTTAAGGGTCTTTTCCAACCTTGACAATTCTATGATTCTATGATTCTATGACTTGCTTCACAAGCACACCTCTGACCTGAACTAAAACCAGCACGTAGATACACCTGCCGTCATTTCAAGAGACTCCTTTAACTTTAGGGATTCCAACGTGAACGGCAAGTGTCGGTGGACGCCCTGTGCACCAGCGCCGCACCGGTGTTTCTAACATTTACGTCCTGACAGTGCAGCACAGGATGGATGCCTGTGTATACCTTGCCATGCTCTTCCCAGTACTACTATAAAGACTAAAGCAAAGGACTTCAGTACTTTTTCTGCAAATCCCCTAATACCCAGAAATCCATGAATTAAAGATTTGTTTACAGAAAAGCCATAAGGGATTCTGTCGCCCGCCTGCTCTACTCCATGATGAAGCCTGGGTGAACACAGCTCACAATTAAATCCCTTACTGACTCCAGAAGCAAGGCTCATTTCAACGCTGACGTACAGCTCACGGGGTAAGCGCCCAAGCAGATGTCTGCCGATGTGCCAAATTCTCCAAGAGCACAACTCCGCTCCAGCTCATGTGTCAGGACGGCTGACACACGCTGATCCAGATCTACCGTTAGGTACGTAACACCGCTAGTAAAATGGAAACGCACAGGGAAATAAAAGAGCACGAGACTTCTAAAATACCGAGATTCTGCCGTTAGTTTCATATGTGGAAAAGCAGTTAGGTTAAAGCTTACTGCTAATTTATAAAAAGAGCAGAAAATATTATTAAACACAGCTATACTAAGAGTTCAAAATGAGAAGATTGGAGAACTCCTGGTTTCTCCTCAGGACAAACAAAACAAGCAGAAAACATGGCTCCTTTGCTTGTCCTCCAGCAGGGACTATACAGAATCACAGATGCCCTGTTATGCCCACATCCAGTCTCAAAGCCACTTGTAGACAGAAAAGAAGTAAGTCTACAGGAGCCTTCACCAGGAGGCTTTATATTGTGTGCATTTTTATAGCACCCTAAGCATGTACCAGATAAGCTGATCTGCTCAGAAAAGTCCCTGCTGGATCGCATCTTTTGTTCTCCCACTTCCCCGGGCACAGAGGGTCCTAGGGTACATAAATCCCCTCAAAGGGTTTTCAGGGACTCATGAGACATAGAAAGCCTTTTCCTTCTGAGATACTGGTATAAACGCGGCCGAAGTCAGCCTGAATCACCCCCTGGTCGGTTGGTGCGCAGCAATGGGTGGCAGCACGCCGGAGCTCCCAAGTCAGCCCCTTGTCCGTTAACCATCCAGTGTGCTGGGAAAGAGTCAATCCTCGTAAGGGTGGATCGCTATTTCAGGATGCAATCCCATTAAATGTCTGGCACAGTCTGTTTTAAACTTACTTTGACAAGCAAAGGGAAAACCCAGTTGCAGATTACGTTCTTGACCTAAAGCAGCTACTCCCAGCTTAAAAATCTGCCTTGCTCCTACTAAGGCTCTATATTGAGATCACGATCTTGATACAACCCCCCCTGCTTTGCAGGCACAGCAGCTTCGACGTCTTTCTTACACTTTCTGCTTTAACACTAATGTAGGTTTGTATCTGTAACAGAGCTGTCATTGCCCCTTGCCTTTCAAAAGCTGTCAATCCAACGTCTCTTTACAGCAACAAATCACTAGAGCATTTTTAAGGCATTACGTAGCACTATGCAGCCTTAACCAGTCCGAGAGCAAGCAAATACCTTCCGCCGCTATGGAGAAACGCCGCTAATTGAAAAGGCAGCTTAGAGAGAGCTCTGTAAATAACCAGCTACGGGCAAATAATCTACTTCAAATTGATTTTTTAAAAAAATACTTTTAAAAGCAGACACCATTGCCATTACAAAAATACATACAGCCTACCGATCGTGAACAGAAAGAAGTTGCATGAAGTGTAACTAATTACAGCAAGCGATTAATTTATTTTAGATCTGACATGATAGCCTCTCTTATCAAGAGGATGCATTGTTTACTTATGAAGCCAAGAAAAACATCGTACCTTGTCATTAGTCTAAAGCGCATGAAAAATTATACCGTCTTCAGAATATTTCTCTTGCTTGCTGTCACGATAAATTTTGCTAAAACTACATAATGACATCCTCCTGCCACTCAGACAGATGAGTTTAACAAAGGGAATTTTCAACATAATGTTGCTTTGAAAACCCTGTGATAAGCTATTTGCTAACTACTCAAGAAATTTACAATTTAAATTAGATTAGCACTGCTGACAACAGACGTCTTCGGAAGATATTTCGTGAAATGACCACGGATTAGATAATGGGAGCAGAGCACAAAGGCTGCGTGGCCTATGTACAAACGGGTCCGTACAGCCTCAGCTCTTGCAGAAATCTGGTAGGAACAAGATCATTTATTTGAGATCGTTATACATTTCCATACTGGATTTCTGTTACGCAAGATGGGGAGTATTGCACTCCATCTGAATTCACATAATGGCATGAGAAAAACAGAATATTGCTCCCAGTAATCTCTGATTCGCAAAGTGAGAACATCTTTCAGATGCCAAACTCGGAGAATATTCATGCTACGTAACTTCTGGCACCAAACTCGGAGCCTCGTCGAAGCCTCAATAATCAGTGGAGCTTCCAAAGCACAACTGAAAGGACTTCTGTTAGGAATCTCTTTCTGTGCTGACACACAGAAAGCCTAAACCCACACTGGCAGCTCACATTTAGAAAGCGGGTACGTGCCCATTTCACAGAAAAGGAGAGAGGTATGCAAGTGTCATTCTGATTCAGCTTTCTACCTGGAGGTGGCAGTATCTTCTGCCTGGCACAAACAATTCTTGTTTGAAAGTAAAGGAGATATATGATGGACAAACTCTACAATCATTTCAAGTCCTCCCTTAACGTCCACAAAGGAAGAGAATACTTCCAGGGTATGATTTATTAGCCACAGCATACATGTTATATTGAGATGGATCCGACCCTGCGTCATCTTAGAAAGCTCATTTCCTTGGAGTGCCATGCACAGCCACAGACCTCCTGACAACTTTCTGGAAGGATCGATCCCTCCTTGTAACTACGGTGGAGGATCAGTGCCCTAAATTGGATGCTTGAAGTTCAGCAGTGAACATTTTCCTTTCTATAAAATAAGCATAGCAATCTTTTTGTGGACTATCTTAGGAAGGTAAAAAAAAGCCGTATGTGTCATATGCTGACTGGATCTACTCACATATAAATATATACATACATGTGCAGAAGTGTATTTATACATATACTGTTTGTCTATATAAACATGCATATTCACAAAAAAGGCTGTAAATTCGTCTTGCTAAACATTCATTCCTGTTCAGCGTGCACACACTGTGTTTTTGTGTATTTTCTAAATCCAAATTTGTAATGAGGAGGGGGAAAAGGGAAGGCAGAGAAGCAGTAAGAAAGAGCTGCTTATTCTGTTGTAACAGTGCAAACACCAAAATAACTGCTGGCTGTAGTCACTTTATTGAACATGGTGGTCCATACATTTCAACATGTGACTGTGCTCAGACAACAGACATCCAAAAGCTGCTGCGAAGATAAATGGAAAATTGGATCCAGCTACACAGGCAAACCGCAGGATTGGATGTGCAACAAATGGGTCCCAACGCCTCCACACCACACACATACAACAAATTGTGTCTGAAACAGGCTCCTAGAAAAAAGACAAATTTTACCTGATATGGTCTCACTTTATGGTGAATTTCTTGAATTCCAACCTCTCTTGTCCTTACATCACGACACTAAGAAAAGAAAGGGAGGAAAAAAAAAAATTACGCGGGAGAAAAACATTAAGCTCTCAAACACACAGATTTCCAGCCACCTATCGGGTTCAAAACTAAGCTGAAATAGCATGAAGTTGCAAGGATGAATTTCAAATGGGTAGACTTCAAAATAAAAATGCTCACCGATCCATCCCTAATACACCTCAGAAAGAGGTCTTAGTGCTAAATGGAAAGACCTGCTGGCAAAAATCAATTCACTAAGCAACCATTATGGCTCACGAGGAAACGTACCCTTTGATTCACAAACAGCAGGGTCCGGAGGCAAAGTCAACATACATGAAAGAATAATAGAGAAAAAAAGACTTTGGAATAATCCATTTTTACCCTTCATTGGGAAGGTCTAACATTGGCAAAATCATGCTAAGGCACCAGAGGGTCCTTAAATAGCCAGTTTTTGAATCTCGGCAACCCTTTTTTTGCTTTTAAATGATCACATGAAAACCGTTGCAGAAGTCCTACCCAAATATCACAAAGTAAAGCTAACGCTGATCTGGCATCCACAGAGCATCACTGAGGAGAAATGATGGAGAAAACAGAAGACAGCCAAAAGAAATCTTCCCTCCCTTGGAAGTCGGACAGAGGAGGAGACGAGGCCCCGAGCTCAGCGCTCGAGAGACGGGTTATAGCTTGCATCAACTTCTGTGCTTCTCAGCAAATCCAATGGAAGCTGAGTAATTTGGCACCCATTCAAGTAAGCAAACAGTTGTGGTAGTAGAAGCGCTCCTACTGCAGGAGACCATGCGTATTCACGTCTTAGTGGGTTTATTGGAAAGTCCGATAAAAAGAAAAGTCCAAGCTTAACCCAACGTTTGTCAGCAAAGTGCAGCCACAATACTTTTATCCAACGCAGCTGAGTTGCAAATGCTCGTTTCATTCCACTAGCGCTGCTGTATTTGGAGGGAAGGATGATAACCTCCACCAAGACGCTAAAATCGCTCTAACAGCGACACCACCTACCATGGATTTCCAAAAGCCAGACTTTTAGACAGGGAAAGAATGTGTGAAAATCCAATTCACACAGAAACTCAGAGTACCCAGAACAAGCACAGCTCTCTCTCATGCCCTGTCCTCCTCTGAATGCTTTTAAATTCCACTATCAGTATAAAGCAACAATCTCCCAAATAGCAGAAAAAAGTGGGGGTTTGTGTTCATTTTTTAGAGCGGGCTATGGTAAAACCGGGATTCACTGTCGTGCCAGGATTCTAGAGTAGACAAACTCTTCTCTGCTTTACAGTTTCCCAGCTACTCAAACAGCACGGTAAAAGGCAGAGGAATATCCACTCTTCATTAAGCACCCCAGAACTGAGGAAGGACAATGTATTCTGGGATGCTGCTTTAAAATTCTGTGTCCCAGCTGCGTATCTCCACTTGCACTCAGTGGCCGGCAATCACGAAGGCCAGCAGCCGGTCCCTCCAAGAAGGCTCCTCACGAATAATTTCTTTCCAACAACCACAGACACAAGTTGTGGTGCTGGCATGACTGATCCCCATCCCTCAAACGCAACCCTTAACAAGCCATTCCCCAAAGACAGATGCCAGAGCTGCCAGAGCTGGTGAGCTGGCTGATCTTCACTAATGAGCCTGCAAATATATAAGATTCCTACAAGTCCCTTCCTTGCCATGGCCTTTTCCGCTCCTTTTCCAAGCTAAGAGACAAGAGGACAAAAGGATATTTATAGTTTTTTCCTATGACACAAGAAAAACACAACAGTACCTTATGTTTCAAGCTATATTGCAGCAGACTCTTTGGTTCCTCATTCCACCAGTGGCAGTGTTTCTGCCTCACTAAATTAAAACCTATAATCTTCTGCACAGCAGAGAGATTTACAGATTTGGGTCTTCTCAAAGCGATGACTGCCAGCCTGACAAGCCATTTAATGGTTCAGCTCAGCCCTGACTGCCGAGGATCAGCTATCCCTGCTTCTCCAGCTAGTCTTGATCAGGTTCGGATCAAACGATGTGGTTTTAGTATCAAACCTAGGGAAGAGTTCCCCAGTAGCCTTAAAGAGCTCAATTGAAAAGGCTTAGCTGCACCACGGAGGTTGTCTGCCCTGCCTGGTTTTGAAGTGAAAAGTCAGCAGGGGGGCACGGAAGCTTCTGTGGCTGGCAAAGCTGTCTGCCAAATCCTGGCTCGCTACTGGAGAGAGACTGGGAGGAATGATTTCAGGAGAAAGTCCAGGGCAGCAGCTTAGGAGAGATTAAGTGGTATGGAAAGCCCAGCTGGAAGGAAGACAGTCTGGAGTTCATTTTCTGATCTTTTGCGCTACAACCGCAAGATCCAAGTGAGATGGCTAAGGCAGTAAGGAGCTAGATGTAGCCTAGAGAACTATCCATGTTAAATACCAATGAAATAGGTCAGCAGCACAAGCTGATGTGGGGCTACAGGCACACACGCAGTAGCTGAAGACTTTACGGTTGCTGGATGCAGTAACGCCTTAAAACCTCTTTAAGAAAAGGTGAGCTAGAAAGACGGAGCGCCAAATCACAATACAGACGCACGGAACGGTTGTGGTGAGGATCTGCCCCTGCCTGAACACCAGGACACCAAAGCAATTAAAGCCCTTTGGAACAGTTTCAAGGAGCACGAGGTTTGTGCGATGTTTTGTCTAGGAAGTTGGCCATCCCAAGCAAGGCAGAACTTGGGCACAGCTTTACTGGAGAATCTGCAAACTGTGGCTGATAACTGGGTTTCGGAGGGAGGTTCAAACAGTGAGCAGTGTCAGAGCAGACCATGAGACGCACTGCGAATGCCGACTGCCACAGCGACCCTGAGAGAAAAATCAAGACCGGGCATACGTACCTCCTTCTGACTTCAAATATAAACGCAATTCCTCCCTCCCCCTCCTTCTCTCCACCCCCGCTCATATTTTTATTTGACCTTAGAAATATCAAGAATATCAAGTCTCATTTGTTTGTGCTGAAATCTCTCTTGCAAGATTTCCCTGGCCTCAGACTAAGAGCTTTTCTTCCAATTGTTCAGTCAAGTAAGTGCATGCGTGGGAAAAAGAAAGGAAGGAGAATTTCTAATAGCATAAATTAAAAAGAAACCTTCCTGCCTTCTCTCTGATTTAAGGGTTTCTTTCTGTTAAAAAACGGAATATCACAAACTAGTTACCAAGTACCTTCAGGAAGGAGGTGAAAGTGCTAAACTAAAAATCAACCAAACAAAAAAAGCTTTTCAGAAGTATCATCCGGGTGCTCTTCAGTCATTAAAATTTTTTTGAAAGGCCTTTGCAGATCATTTTAGTTCAGCAGTAAACCTGGCTCCTATTGTGTCTTCTGGTCATTACTTTCCTCTCTGCTACTTTGTGTAAAGTCATCAAGCAGCTCTCCCTCAATACCAATTGACAAATATTTTACCTGGGTCCCAAGATCTTTCATCCTGGCCAAGGCAAGCTCTCTCAGGTTCCCGTGCTCCACTCCAGAGCTGACTAGCGGCATTGGGATATCTCTGCATGGAAGAGGAAAAACAAAAACCTCAAACAACTGCATTAGCAGATGATACATCATTCCAAATAGCAGCAAAGATCCCAAATAGCAGCCCAGAGAACTTATCTGAATAGCTTTTGTTTCAAGGCTTTGGTTGAACAAGAAATAACACAGGTAAAACACAGCTAAAAGCAGGAGAAAAATGAAGGGAAAAAGCTACAGATTTTATGTCCGTAAAAAGACTGAAGCCAAAAGTAGGCTTTTACAATCCTGAGAAATAGGTTACAATTTTGCTCTCAGTTCTTCACTTGGAAGTCTGGAAAAAAAAGGGATCATCCAGCCGAGCCTGTGCCTTGCCTAGGACTCCAGGTGAGATGTTCTTCGTGGTATCTGTTGCTGGAGACCAGCAATTGGGAACCAGACCGCGTCTTTCTGCAGTCTCCGAGTTGAATGTCCACCAGGGAAAATTCATCAGAATTACATTTTTATACTGGGGACACTAGCTGCTTAGAAGTGAAAAAGTTCTGTTTGGCAAATGATTTGCAGCAAAGCCCAGCCAGAACGTCTAGGGCCTTCCTATGGGAATGTAAATCATCAGTCTGCAAATGGCAGAACTCCTTCCTTCAGTTCTCCAAGGGAGGTACTAAAATGAGATTTGAAAGCAAGACCAGGTTTGGCCTCTCCACTGCCTTCCAGGGCAGTTAGTCCCTCTAGAGATTAGGAAAGCAGGACACCATCCCTTAGGGAAAGGAGGATTTGTGCATCCAGATCAAGCTGGAAAAGAAACATGGGGATTCTTGGCACATCCCATTCCACGCTCACCTTGTATCTAATGCTGTACTAGACGGTGTTTCCAAATGCTTCTCCTTGCCCCTGCTCAAAGTCCAGCCTGGCACCTCTGATAACATACCACCCAAGTGCACCACGGTGCAATCCCAAAGCCCTCACATCTTCTACAGGGAAATAAGGGCTATACAAACACGAAAGATACTCAAAACGGGGCTCAAACATTCCTCGGTGAGTATTCCTCCTTTTTCTTTATCTATGCAAGCATTCAACAGAGTAAAGAACAGAATATCACAAAAAACATACAGAGAATGGGATGGTTCAGGGAATTGGTAATGTAATTAGCTTAATCCATCTTGGTTCAGTAGTGATTGAAAGTCATCACCATCTAGCAGCTGTCTGATGACCTCTGTAAAACGTATTAATTGATCTATTCAGCTCCTTAAGGACTTGCATTCACATCATGGCTCCCATTAACAATTACTATTTTTGGCAGTAGCTGTATAAAAGATAAAGGTCTTCAAGGGTCCTAAAGACCTGATCCTGTGCTGCTTCAGCCTTGTCGAAGTCCGAGGCGCCGGCAAGGGGGGCAAGAAAAGGAGTTTTCCTTTACTGTTAAGAATGAAAACAAGGGTTTCAGACTCCAGGACTCTCCTCCCATTTCAGCATCGCACTGCATTTCGGTAAAACTGTCTCCAGCATAATGGGGACCCTGTGTTTTACTTTCCTCCCCTGTTTTCCCTGCTCTTTTTTCTACAAAGCCAAAGGGTCTATGAAAAATTCCTTGCCTCGTACACTCGCATGCCAAGAAGCTGAGGCAAAACGCAATTAGTTAACCAGTTCATTTATTCAGTGGATTTCTTTGAGTAAATAAGACACTGCAGAGCCAACACAACGTACTTCAAAGAGCTTCAATTAGAGGAAATGAGCACTTCACATTGTGACTAAAGGACACACTAGAGGGGAATGGCATTTTCATCAGGGTATGTTAGATCTACAGTGATAATCTAACTAAACGCCTTTCCTCTAATTATGGAACAACTCCAAGAAGTCAGGCTGTATGTATTTGCCCTACAGGGACACAGATAAAACACCCTGACATCCTCCAGTACCAGGTTTTTAGCTAAATCCAGAGTCAGCTGTGAAATAGTAAATAAAGTACTGCAAATAAAAGATAGATTACAACATACAGTAACTTGAGCCTCTCTCATCTGCCTACTAGAGAGCAAACTAAATTAAAATATGAATGTGAAAAATAAGCTTTCCAAGAAAAAGAAAACAAGAAATAGGTTCTCCATCTCCACTTCAGATTAGGGCAGGGTATTTAAATAAGTACCCTGCGTGCATCATGAGCGTACACACAAACTGCCTATTTTGAATAGCCACCAGACAGCATTGAACCAGTGATCTTAGGACTTGTTAAAACGCTAAACAAATTCAGGGATACGGGGGATTAAATCCTGACCTTATTGAAGTGAATGCGCAATTTGCCAGAAGCTTCAACAAGGCCTATTTAATCTTCTGTTTTTCAAACATTTTGCATTACCTCGAACACTTGTGAAGCAGTTGACTGAAGCACACAGTGAAAGCCTAAAGACCTTGAGTCTGCTCTCAGCTCAGTTAAGTCAGGTATTTTATTTCTTCATACCTACATCTCCCCATCAGTACAGCGAAAATAACAATCATACAAAACACCAATTTCCACGAAAGGAAAAGTCTCCGGGTGCGCGGCACTGCTCCTGTCATTTCACACCTTCTCACACACCAAGGCACTTCAGTGATAATGAGGTTCACAACCATTCAGGATAAATACAGTATTAAGCATCTCTAACAGTTACAAAACACCCTGGAAGATACATTCTCCTCCAACCAGCCATTAGCAACAGCATCTCTTTTCTGTTTTTTTTTTTAAACATATTTAACCTGGTTTCCTGAAGCAGAAAGACTTGTACAGTGTTTTGTCAGTGACACCTCTCCCGTACTCACCCAATTCCTTCAACTGATTATTTTGAGCATGTGAGGGACTACAAAACCATTTTGAGTCCTCAAAACCTGGTACTAGGGAACAGAGATCCCAAACAATGGTCCTAATAAGGAAAGACATGGATAACTCAGTCTTTTTCTGGTGCTGTTTGCTAGAAAACCTGAATGCACGTACCAAACGGCCAGCCAGTACGCGGAGAGCTCGGGACGAGCTGCCGTCCGGGGCACGAGCTGAATCTGAAAGGATTGTGGAAATAGAGCCTGAAATGTAAGACGTGAAGGATGGAGGACTTGTGGCAAGAGGCTGGAGGGAGCTGGAAAGGGCCCGGGGCAGCAACGGAGAACGGGGAAAAAGTCGCTGTCCTCAGTGACGCAGCATTGGGAACAGGCCACAAATGTTTTCAGAAATCTGGCTTTGTTCGTTATTCTGTTACAGAGTCACACAATGGCCCTGAAAGCAATTTAGATCAAAGTAATAGCTTTTGGACTTTGCACTGGAGGTGTAAAAATCTGTAATCACCACGCACAAGTTTCAGATAACATGAGCCAGTCAGTAAGAAAACAGCTATTCCACTGGAACATAATAACCGACAACCGCATGACAGCTGGATGGAGGCTGCTGCTGTTGGCAGAATAAATCATAGTCAAGCTCAGGCAAATCAGCACACAAAGCAAAGACTTCGCCAGGCCTGTGTTCCTTAGGAGAAGACCTGCTAGGCTGCAAACTCATGTCATCCTCTAAGAATAAACCTGTTCGTTTTAGATACGATGCTATGGTGATAGCATCATGACCAAACCATTGCGTCTATAATAGTGGAATCGATGAGAAAGAAGGAGATGTGCAGGGAGAAAAGATGGGAGTTTTGCCTTTAATAATGCTCCTACAAGCGATGTGAAAAGCCTGGGGGAATATCAAGCAGATATTTCCTGTAAGCCACGTTTTGCCTTCTTCATCAGTATCACATCCTTCTTCTCAGAGTTCAGCTACAGCCACCAGTTTCTCACAGTAACAAAAAACCTGAAGAAAAGATCTCCTGGTGGCCGAATCCTTGTCTCAGTTATTACAGACTGCTGGATCACGATCACATTCATACGCCTAATCTAGCTTTACCATATTCACGTTTAGCTTTTCTTCTTTGGAAAGCTACTCCAGAATCCCAGCCCTGACCAAAAATTCCCAGCTTCCTACCTCGTTTTATGCAAGGCTACTTCTTATTTCCTTGTTCTCTGCCCAAATCAATGTTCCTATTTCTTAAAAGGTTATTCTCCTTCTCTCACAGATTTGCAGAGGTCATTTATGTCCACATCTATGCTTCAAACAGAAGACTGATGTTCCTCTGCACATATTTCCACAGTTTATTTGCTTGAAGATGGGGATTATTCCAGACAAGGTCTTACCAAAGCCTCGTCTGGCTCCTGCATTAATACCTTCATCTCTAAGAAGAGTTATCCTGAAAAAAATGCTTTTCACGGCTGCATTTACCAGTGGCTTATTCAGATTACAGACCGAGACATTAAGAACTCTTCCTCCTCTGCTATTTTCACATGGTGATCTCACAGTTTGCAGCAAAACCCCCTCCAAGTTTGACCTCAGACTTGCCTGAACTGCATCTCGTGCCACCTCTATCACTCCAGCTTCACCACCACCAGATCCAGCTCGTGCATCCTCTCTCTTTCAATGATGCTTCCCAGCCCTGCGAGGTTTCTTCAGTGCCCTATTACTTTTTGTGTCATTGTAAATAGATACAATTTCGAGCAAGATTATTAGTTTTTAAATGGATGTTTGAGAAACTCCATTAATAACCCTGAGTCCATACTTTCTTTATCAAAGCTACCCAGCGTTTCTTGCCTTCAGCCACTTTCTTCTCTACCATGTTTCTCCACTTATCCCTGTTCCGTCACATTGCCGATGGGGCACAACATCAAAATGCCTTAGAGAAGGCCAGGCAGGTGAGGTCTAACACACAAGGCTTTCTCATTCTGCATGCTCTTGGAGAGCTAGGCATTGGCATGGTTTCCAGCTCATGTAGCTGGAAGCCAACTGAGTATTGTCTGCACATGCAAAAACAGGCAAGCATGCTATAGCCTCCCTTCCTAATATCAGACAGCTGTAGGAGATAACAGAAGAAAAATAATCCAAGGAAGACCCCACACTGAAAATACAGAGCTAAATGGAAGTATTATCTGTCATCCTGGGAGGTGACGGAAATAACGGCACTGCCATAGTACATTTATGAAAACCCTGCAACACCCACGGGGAAAGAAAGGAAGTCTCTACAGCCAAAAAAAACGACACACCCCGCAGCTCCTGCAATAAGGATAGGAAACTTCACCCGCAGTGAAGGGGCAATTATCCATCAATACCATTAAAGTACCACGTGTGCCACATGCCATGCTCTTGTCTGGCTGACAACAAAAGCGGGGCCTCCAAAAATCCTGAAGTTTCTGGGTGCATTAGAGAGGCAGTTCAATTTAAATAGCTTCTCATTCTGCTTGGCCTTTCCCATTCTGAAGAGATAGGAAGCGTTTTTCAAAATCTTTAGTGCATTAATGATTAAGGATGAAAAATAATAAAAGGCTGAGTCAGATCTCACTGTAATTAAAGTAAGAATCCCTCCAAGTGCAATAAATCAAGATACAAGGCTCATCACAGAAAATTACCTCTGAACACGGTATACACGTGTCCACGGTGGGACAAGGGCCAGGATTCTGGCCACCAGATCCACAAGGGTGCTGGGGGGATAGCTCTTGTATCTTCCAGTCTTCCAGAGCTCGTACAGACCCGTGCCACGGATCACGAGTGTCGGATAGAGCTTCATACCATCTGGGCGAAAAGCAGGATTCTCAAAAAACTCCTGCAAAAGAGGAACAAAAAATGCGAGTCAGGGCAAAAGAAACTACATCTCCTGAGGCTTTAATGCCCCAGCAAAACTAATTTCTAGACAGATTTTATAAAAGACAATTGTAAGTGCGGTTAAAGTATTACTGGCTTACATTCAGTTTCCAGTATTTATCAGTTTACAACATTTTTAGAAATAAAAGAGCATGTACTAGATTTAAAGAGAAGGCCACTAAAGAAAAAAAAATCCACATGACAATGCTACGAGTCAAATCTGTACATTACTTCTACCTTTCAGCATGAATTCAATAGATATTGCACGATTTATTGTAACAGACTCTGCTCAGAATTAGAACAATAGAAATGAGTGTACTTATCTTCAATCTCAGCAGACCACATTTAGAGATTAATCAATGTGTCTGGGACACATCATTTGAATAGCAATGAAGAAAAACAGATTTATTCTACAATGGTGTTCTGAACAATCCTGGAGAACCGGAGGACAAACTGTATCTCCTGCTAACTTCTATGACTAAATCCCAGTATAGAACTGCAAACTGAACAGCACTAGCTCGCATGACACAACAATCACACTGGTTTTTTCCAGATTAAATTTCAGTAATGACAATTAAAATAAAATCACTTACAAAAAAAATAAAAAACCAGGCAAAGCACCCTGAACCAAGCAACCATTAAATTGACTTAAGCAATGACATGGCCCTCATTATAACAGCATCTACGGGCCAGATCTAATACTGGATTAGACTGTTGCACAGCTGAAATCCACTGCTTCATCCCTCTCCAGCATGGTATTCTCATAGTAATAAAAAACCCTAAAAGTTTGTTAAGCTGAGTTAATGGCAGGCTGTTGTGGTCCCACCAGTTGCTGCGGTAGCTTTGGTACCCACCAGCACTTCGTTGAAGTGCTTCAACATGTTCGCGTGGCCCAGACCCACTCAGACACTTTGCTACGTTTCCTACTGCTGCTGTGTGTTAAACCAGCTCCTGGAGTGCTCCAGCAAGTCCCGACGTTGGAATAAAGTGCCATTAGCAGCCTGCTGGGAGCAGGACCTCCCCACCTGGGCAGCACTAAGCCGCTCTGTTGGCTCCCTGTGCTTTACAAAACCCTACTTCAACATGATAAAAAGCAGCAAATGGTTTGCTGCTAGCTTAAGCACACCAAAATGGATCTGCACAGACTTGAATGCATGCTAGATCCAGCACAAGGACGGGAGGAGGCGAGCAAGGTCAGAGGAACGGCAGGACCACGTCAGCCCAGGCCGTTTCTGGCAGACGCCCTGCCTAAGCCTGGGGCCAGCTCCAGCAGCCTCTGTCCCGCACGCCCGCGCCTCCGTGCCACCCTGCCTGCTGCACAGCTACAGAGAAAAACAGACCAGAGAGCTAATCCAGCTGAAAAAAGAAACCACTTAAAAAAATATCTTTTCCAGGCAGGCCAGCCTCCTGAGCCATTTATACACATCCTCACAAGCAGAGAGACAGGGACAACTGAGTCAGTTTAAGAGACAAAACAAGATCTGGACCATGGATAAAGTCCACGCTGCTGCTGCAAAATTAACTGTCAAATCCTGCATTCATAGAACCGATTATATAATCGTTTAGGTTGGAAAAGACCCTTAAGATCATCGAGTCCAACCGTTAACCCAGCACTGCCAAGCCCACCACTAAACCATGTCCCTAAGCACCACAACTCCCCGGCTTTTAAATCCCCCCAGGGATGGGGACTCAGCCCCTGCCCCGGGCAGCCTGGGCCAGGGCCTGACAGCCCTTTGCGGGAAGGAGTTTTCCCTAATATCCAACCTAACCCTGCCCTGGCGCAGCTTGAGGCCGTTCCCTCTTGTCCTACCGCTGACGAAGCTTCAGCCATCACCATCCCAGCACCACTGCTGGTTTAAGGAGCAGTAAGTCCCGGATGGCCCCATAAAGAAAAAAAACAACACAAGGGGGAGGTAGTGGTTTTAAATTTTGCAGGGTTGTTTTAACTGAGATCAACTCACTGACTTGAGTTACCTGCAGCTTTGCAAAACGGCTGGGCCAAAAGCTGCTTCTGCTGAGAGAACCCCATCCAGGCACAGCCTCGGTGTGCTCACCTCGGTACAGCATTGCTAAACCGTTTGGTTCACACAGAAAGTGAGACCCACATTCTCCACCCTCAGCCTCCAGGAGGGCTATCTAACTCTTTTCTCCTCTAAGAGTATCCAAGACACAAGGCCAACCATCCCAGGCAGGTAACACACCTTATATCCCATTAATCTGTAAACGGTTTACAAGGAAGTTGGCAAAGAGGGATGACTCTGAACCCTGGTGTCAAGGTGCTCGCTCTGGAGCGTGTGTAGATATAAGGCTGGTCTGCCCTGTTCCTCAGGACTGTTTATGCACTCTACCAACACTCCTGTTCATCACGAATCTCACATCGCCACCATGAGATGAAAAAACGTACTTATCTTGCCAGCTCTGCGAAATAATAAAATCATCATCACCACTTCTGAGGATGGGGCATAAATGACTTATTCGGAGATGCTCTGGGCTGGTCTGTGCTGCAGCTCCACAGGCAGCAGATGTGATGGCTCCCTGCCCTGCCCACACTTCCAGCCACGCCGTCCTGCTCCCAACCTCATGCCAGCTCCGATTCCTGATGGATCCTTGACCAGGATGACTCACCTCACTGCTGCAGGAGAGCCCAACAGGGATTTTGAGAACGTTTTTCTTTTGTTTCGGTGTTGGGCTGGGTTACAGAGCGATCTGTTGAGCACCATGGATGAATCAGAGAATATCTCAAGTTGGAAGGGACCCGTAAGGATCACCCAGTCCAACTCCCAGTAAGTAAGTAAGGTCAGAAACAGGATCTGCCCCCATGTGACAGCAGGGAACCATTATGTCCGCTTAATGCGTCTCTTGGAAGCATGCATCCTCCCCTCTGCCCCAAGGGTTCAGCTTGACTTTACAGGTCAATACTGTCGCTGGCAGCTGTCGGAGAAGGCAGACATGCTCTGCCCTTGGCTGACCACTCTTACCACTTCTTCTGTGCCGGCCCTAGCGTGCATCTGATGCTCTAGATGCGAAGAGGGGGGAAAAAAATAAATCACTGGACTCATTTTTAAAGCAGCCAGCTGAAGCGAGTGTGTAATCCAAAGTCATATAGCGTGTGAAGAAGCGTAGGGTCAGAAAAATAATTCAGAATCAAGAGAACAACCCAAAAGGACAGACTTCCATCTTTTGTGGGTGGTTGGAGGTGCTCTAATGTAAAAGAAACCAACTCTGAAAGAAGGAATAAGAAAATCATGCAAGGGGTGATTGTTCTAGCCAGAGGAGCTCTATGGCCAAGCAGCACTGAAGAAGAGAAAGACATTAAGGTAAGAAAGCAATGATGCTTCCACAATGAGATATAGGAAGGTAAATAAACCACTCCAGCAAGGCAAAAAGGCTTCCAGTAAGCTTATGCATTAATATTCGCAATGCTACTGAACGCAAAAGCATGTGTGATTCACCAGTCGGAATATTTAAACAGTCACTGATTTACATTGCAGATTAAAGGCAAAGGCATCAGCACAGCGCTAAGGTTAAAGCCATCCAGCAAAGGCACGGTCAAAAGTTAAGGTTTCTGATCACATCGTGAATTTTGCCACTTCGTGCATACTGCACATTTTACGTCAATATATTGTTAGCTGATAACGCTACTTCGTATTTCAGTAATGCTGGCATTAAAACAGCAACAGATTTTCACATTCATTTCTTAACATATTTCTCAAAATATTCCTCAAGTTTAATTATTTAAAAAGTAATTAATTTCAAGCAATACAACAAAGCAGTGTCTCCTTTTTTTCCTGAACCCCTTTTTCCAGCGGTAAACTTTAAAGAGTTTCTGTAAATCCCAATATTTAAAGGCTTAACCTTTTCCCATTGACAAACAGTTTTGATTAAGTCTCTCAGGAAACAAAGGAACTATAAAATGCCAACACATGCCAAGCTTTAGTAGGAATTGGAGCCTTTTCTTTTTTTAATTAGACACCTTAAAAGGTGTCTTCGACTGATAAAAACGTTGAGAACAGTTTACTGCCAAAACAAATTCAATCCCTAAAACAACATTTGTTCCAGAGACCACCATCCCTAGCATCACTGGAGTCAACAGGAGGCTTTCCATCAGCTCTAGCAAGCATTCAAGCAGGGCTTAAATCCACGTCTGCTAATGCAGTGTGAAGTTAGAGGTTAAAAATGACCTAGAGAGAAAGGATCCTTACGTATTTCCAGTCTTTCTGAATCACTTGAGGACGCGGCGTAGTGCTCTCGCGTGCATGACTATTCCAAATGGAAGCACATGCAACTTCAAAGGTACTAAACCGATTTTCTTTGAACCTGAAGTTTTCTCCCCTCTAGCTAAAGACTGTAAGCCAACTAGCATTTAACTCGTCTCGTATAATAAAGACGGATGCTAGCTTAAAATTTAAAATTTGTGTGTGCGGAGGGTGGACAGGGTGTGAGAAAGGATCGTAGTGGTTTAATTGTAATTAAAAAAAAAAGGTCAATTCAGATCAGCTGAAACTTAAATGATCTGGAGGTTCATAACATGGACCTTTTCATACCCTAAAATAACATTTCTTATAACCTTGCCCAATTTATGTGGTATTAGAGAAAAGCTGAGTACTTTTCTCTATTGACATGGAGGGGCTGGAGCGTGGCCAGAGCAGGGCAGCGAGGCTGGGGCAGGGGCTGGAGCCCAAGGCTGGGGAGGAGCGGCTGGGGGAGCTGGGGGGGCTCAGCCTGGAGAAGAGGAGGCTGAGGGGAGCCCTCATCGCTCTCTGCAACGGCCTGAAAGGAGGCTGGAGCCGGGGGGGGGGCGGTCTCTTCTCGCCCGGAACAGCGATGGGACGAGAGGGAACGGCCTCAAGCTGCGCCAGGGCAGGGTTAGGTTGGATATTAGGGAAAACTCCTTCCCCCAAAGGGCTGTCAGGCCCTGGCCCAGGCTGCCTGGGGCAGGGGCTGAGTCCCCATCCCTGGGGG